AGGGATGCCAACCGTACGAGAATCTTCGTGCAAGTACGAGATTTTAAGATAATTTTTGTATAAGGTTGTGTCGACATTTTAACTTTTTTTTTTAGTACTACGATGGTGGCAAACGTGCATATAGACCCTCTGATAGCAAACGGCTAACTCCTGAGAAACCTTGGGTGTCACGTGCCCGTTGCCCACCCTTAAGAAACTTTAATATACCCTTCTTGAAAAACCCCATGCTGTAGTCTCTCGAGAAAGCCTCGGAAGGTAGTACATTCCACAGTACAAGTGTATGCAGGAGGAGGCTTCCCTGGAATTGCGTTGTCCGAGATCACTTAGGTTCTAGCGTATAGAGATGAATTCCCTGAAAGCTAGTGATGCGTTGGTAGAATGTAGCCGTATTCATTAACTTACAGAAACGGTTAAAATATCATGAGGTTATAGAGCCAAAGTAAGTCCTAGTATATGAGATTTTAAGATTTTTTGTTTCTTTATGCGAGATTATATGTGTTAAGATTGGTAGCCCTGCTGCGTACCCGCACTCAGTTTATGAGTGGTCTTCACCTCATGAATCACTCCGGATTTATACAACGCAATAAAAAAATGAAGGCTAAAGAAATAGGATCAGGTATGAGGTACTCTTTCTGTGAAATCGCACGATCAATTACCAGGAAAACGCTAATGATTTTGTAGACAATGGATACATCATCTTACATTACCATTTTCCGTCCATTATGAAATCAGAGTGCGTATATAGGATGATACACTCTTTTTACATAAAAAAAAATAATCTGCATTTCATAATCCACATTGTCGGGACATACATGTCTAAATATTTTTGCTCAAGAAGAAATACAAAATAGAAAAAGATATATTTCAAACAAATTTCTGTACAATAGAAAATAAGTATTAAATTGTTTTACAAATATTTATGCACTTTAGAAATTTATGAATTTATTCATAATTTTTATATTATTATAAAATTTTGCAATATTTCAAATTGTAAAAAAGTGTTCATACTTTTTGTACCCTATATTTCTGAAACACCAGTTTATTGACATACTAGATCTCTAATTTATTCTAATTTATTTTTGTGAATATGGGACCAGTCTATCAATTATAGTGTTGTTTTCATAACTCAGATGAAAATCAAGTGAATTTGCGCGTTTTACAGGAATTTCTAATTTCAATCACTGAAGCAAAACTACCATTTACTCTCTCCTTTAGAAAATTTTAATTAATTTAAAAGTCTTAATTAATTAGTTTTCTACGAAATGGCTTTCGCCCCATCAACTGCGTAATGTTTTCTTTTATGTGTTTTCATTTGAAGTTGACACGGTATGTGCTAATATTTAGTTAAGTTGATAAACTGTATTTAACCTTCAATATCCGGTACAATTCACTTACGGTGGAGGTAATTTTAAATGGTCCCCCACTCGTAAATTAGCCGGCCATAATGGAATCTTGAATGAATGGACGGAATTTTTAAATGCTCTGACTAACGGGCAATTTTGTAAAGGCGGCCGGTGAACTCATCACTGTCTACGTTTTTTTTACACAATTCTAATATTTTTAATACAGCTTGTCTTCCGACATAGGCCTCTTCTAAAGATTTCCATGCTGTCCTGTCCTTTGCTTTACGAGTTCATATTGGGAAAATAGCTAATTTTCCTAATATCATATTTCCATCTTATATTCTGTCTATCTATTTCTTTTACTGCCTCGTGGGTACTATTTTGTTATTATTCTTGTCCATTTATCTTTCTATTCTCTTATATTGTGACTATCCATCTCCAATTTAGGTGTTTATAAATTTTATACGCATTTTTGGAATTTATTTTATGTTTAATTGCTAATTTTTATTTAATTAAAACTTGGCATAGCAATAAAGGCAATATTATTTTTAATTTATTTATTTTTAATAGCAATAGGTTTATACGAAGATTTTTACGAAACAGCAATAAGTATAGAACTTCATTGAGCATGTTCATATGATTTTCCCATTAAAATTATTATACCACGAATAGCCACGTCTATCATTGCCACATCATTGTAGTAAAAAGTCATAGTTGTTGTCACGACATTGTAAAATTAAATACCTATATATTATACTTTGTTTATGTTGATTATCTACTACTATCGTCGTAACAGGTAGTGAACTTTGACTTGAAATATTTGGTAAATATACTATAATATTTAATCATTTATATATGCAAAATATTTTAATGAATGAAACGCAATGAACAAACTTGTAAGTGTTATATATAGGTATAGGTATGTTGGTATATGTTATATAGGTATATAGGTATAGGTATCGGTATAGGTTTTGGTATATATAGGTATAGGTAACTTGCAAATGTATAAATTATCATACATCCCGATGCTAAACAATCAAGTGTTGTAACGATCGCTTTGTTATATTTACTATTATCGTACTGTTTAAAAGATTTCACTGCTACCATGGATTTTTTTATAAAATTTCACGATTTGTTCATACTTTTTCTAGGATTCTCCCTAGCTTATCCTTCGAGTAATTTATTGAAAGAATTGTTAATGTGCTGAAAGATGTCTGTGTGAAAGTTGGGAAGGGCTCAACAACACGTCAACATACCCTTACCGCACTCGTGAAACCGTCATCTCATCACTTCGCTAATGGGAATCTGTCAGCGACTCGACCCCTTTAAACTCTCGTTTCCGGGCTTCATCTGTAATGTAGCTTATTTTGAAACGGATACACTTTACAGTTTCAAATGCATATTTACTACATACCTGCTGTTGTGTGGAGCATCTGTACATGACAACAGAAATAAAAATCAAGATCCCAAATGATTCGTAAAAAAACTCCATTAGTTTGACGATGAACCTGTAAATTCTCAACGGTCCTTATTTTTATTATTATGTTATTTAGATCTATCGTGGCATACAACTCATATTACATTCTGGAGTTTAACAAGTAAGTAAATAATTGATTAAGTGAGAAGAAAAATATATATTGGCTAATAAAACAACTATATATACCTACTAGTCAATGAAATTTCATTTGATAGATCAGTGGAGAGGTACAGAGACTATGCTATATTAAATTGTTGTAAGGAAGAACGAATACTTGAATTTTATAAGCACTCGTTATTTTTTTATTAAAGTGCATATACCTATTTATAATTTTTAGTAGTAGACATTTGCGACAGTAATTGATGAGAATGTAAGACTCGCTGCGTTATCAATCAATTTTGGAAATCATATTGACAGCTGCTGGTATTTATATTAGGGGTGCCGAGGCGTCAACGCTTGATGATCTGATCTCGTGTGAAATGAGGGTCCACTTAAAAACATATCGTAGTAGGCATAAAAACAGTTAAACAGTTGGGCGTAGGCGTAAGACAGCTGAGTGGATGGGGTCGTGGAATGACCGTAGTTTAGTTAACTACAAGCTTCCGCCTAACGAGCGATCAGGTTGCCTATAGTGACTATTTGGTGCCCGTCCGCTATTCACGTAATTGTGGCTACGAACTTCTGTAAATGTCTGTAAATTACCGTTTTTAGAAAACAACGACTGAGCTTTAAGCATTTGTCTTATCGACTTCATGCTAATTACTGTCGAACTACCTTTTAATGAAACATTGCATTTTAGTGTTGAAGTCACAAATCGATGAAGGAATTGAAAATGTAAATGTAAACAATACCGAAAAAGGATTTCATTTCATGAAATCCTTTTTCGGTATTGTTGTAATGACCAAGTTTATACAGACTGTACTTTTGCAGACTTCTCGGTGTGATAGGTTTATTAATAATATGTAATGCCCGCTCACGCGTTCGTAGCGTCACGCACGCTAACATTCAATACTAAGTAGTTTTATCGCAAATCTTGCGGAAATATGTCGGCTGATCTCCGTAGTGGCGCGACAGTTGTATATCATATATCCTGTGGACGGAAGAGCGTGGAAGTTGCGTCATCACCGGAAATAGACGCCCTCTGTGTCACGCAACGCACCGCGTGTCGTCATACACACATGTAGTCCACGCACCGTCATCAAGCACTTCACTAATCAGCGCAGCGCCCGCGCTAACTTACCCGCACCACGGCCTAATCACACTCGTTAACCGCCTGCAGGAAATGACTGCCATTAAAACAATTTTCAGTACATACGTGCTTAAGTGATAATGGTATTCCTACCAAAAAGCTGAAGAACAAATCGGTGCAGGCAAAAAATTAATGAATACTATCGATCTTCCTCTATTTTTTTTGTTTTAGTAAACGAGTAATTATTACTCAGCGGAAACAGCTTGAGATAATACTGCGATTTATCCTTCGCCGCGTGTGTCCATTTGTTTATTTGCTGCGCTGCGGGTTCCTCCGCGCATAAATGAGTACGAACACTTATTACACGGACATGCTTTTCAGGCGTTTGTGTCGAAAATAAAGCCAAGGGATGAGCATAAACATTTCAACTGATTTTACTGGGAGCGTAGATCAAGTAGTCACCAGTAAGATATTAACCACCCGCTCATACATTAATCCAATTAAAATATGGTAATGGCTTAGTTCGTCCACCTGAATTTTATGATACGCTTGCGGAATCAATTTTCGTTCGTGAAATTTATGTTCGTGTTCCCCAATTAACTGGCAATTCGGTGGCTTCGATTATTTCGCATAAAATGTGCCGGCGACTCCCGCATCCGGTGATTACGTCTGGCGCATAATTTGTGATGCGCCTGCGCCTGGGCCCAACCTACGCTCGCTCTCGATTTTTGTTTGATAAAAAACGGAAGGGTTCGTCGAGGTTGGTGCCTGTGGTGCACTCTGCATACTTGTTATTTATTTTTCTTAATGTCAAATATTTTGCACCTGCGTACATTGTTTGTTGTGTTGGTTAAATACGATTTTGTTAATTAAAATACTTATTATTTTATTATATATTTCGTTTATGATATTAACATTGAAAACTTTATCTATCATATTATTTATTATACCTTTTTAATTAAAGTCAGTATTCTATTTGCTGCAGAATCAACGAGCATTGCTGGCGTCGTCGGGCGCGTGCCAGCGACCGGATGCGCCACCGGCGACATAATGTGGCTTCTTGATGAGCCGAATCAACCTTATGAAGGTAATTTAATTATTATATGATGCTTGATATTCCCAATACCTCTTTGAGCTATATTCTTTATGGAGCAGGGAGATAATACAAAGTGCCATAGGTCTTCAATATAGTTGTTATACATATGGAAAATATAATTCAGTTAACAATTTCTAATATTTCAGACTGTGAGCAGCTACTTTGCTTTCGCTATTATAATGGTGAAGGCGAAGAATGTGTGGCGGAGTCCCCTACAATACCACCGCGTTTCAAGGTAGACCTAAAGAAATTACCTCTCCGTCTTAAGGAAGGTATGTCAAGAAAGCGGAGTGGTGACCAAATATCACCGTTTACCTATCATAATGAGAGTTTTGAAATGAATTCTGAGAACCCGCCCCGAGTAGAGTTCGTCTCCGGTATCAGCCAAGACATTAAGCATCTAAGCGAAAATGTTAACAAATGCTCAATTAGTGCTTTAGAAAGCAACGGGAACAATTTAAATCTCGATCAAACAAAATGTGATCCTAGTAAATCTCTAGTTAGTAGTGTAAGTAAAGAATCTCTTTCTGTAAATAGTGAATCTCAGAGTGCTATAGACTGTAAACCAACATCCTCAGGAGTTAAGAAAAAATGTCCTCCGCCAGTAGACACAGGTGGTGGACAAATCTCAACTGGTGTAAAAAAGAAAACGAAGGCGAATAGTGGTTTCGAGTCACCTACTTCGCCAGGTACAGAGTATTATAAAATATGGTCACCAAAGAATCCCTGTAAAATAATGAAATTTGTGTATGATGTTGAAGGTGCCAATGTACCAAGTGATGCAGAAAAATCGCCCGTACCTCCTCTTCCTCCACGACAATCTCACAAACCACTCGAAAGAATGCACGCATTATCTCCACCTCAGGTACCAAGACATCGAAAGCCAAAAAAACTCACAAAACCAGAAGATGCGTTTACATTTGAGTTGATAGATATAGATGAACAGTTTTTTACTGAAAATAACATTACAAATTCTGCGGTATTACAAGGTCAAATTAATGATTTTAAACCTGGAGAGTTTTACTCGGGTAATCAGGTAGCTATGTCTTCAACGACTAGCTTTTGGAGAGGAGGACAAAACGTGGCTCCTCTAGCAACACCTGAAACTGATGGTAGCTTGTGTGATTCGATGGTCTCGTCTATGAAAATGTCTAAGTTAATGGAAGAAAAGAAAATTAAAGATGTACCTGAAAGTTCTACTAGTATTAGTAAAAATAATATAATGTTTATTAAAGACATAGGACCAGATAATTATATAACTACAACGTTTGCTAGGAAAGATAAATCTAGTCTCACTGATGTCGTAGATGGCGTTACTCAGACGCCAAATCATGCGAAGTCAGAAGAAAAAGCTCAAAACATATTTCTAAACGATATTAGTAATAATTCTGAATTTGAAGATGACAATAGAAATCAAATAGAAGAGAAAGAAATTACAATATTAAAAAGTCATAAGCCGCTGACAAGGCAAAGTTCAGGCCGCGCCACGCCCACAATGATGACAGCTTTTTTGAACTCATCTCATATCGATACACCAACTAGGGAAACCGATAATAATAGTCCTAATGCGCCAAGCTCTTGTAACTCTTCTCATTCATCATCACCTGTGGATGATCCAAACAAAACTTTACCATGCGTAGGAACTCTGTTGATGAATCGAAAATATTCGTGTGATAATTCAACCCCAAAGCATTCTAGTTTACCTCGGCATTTATTAAAAAACCTAGGATGCGATGTTACACCAAAGCACTCACCACATAAGACGGCCAATAATGCTTTGAAAAATAACGAGGAGAGTCCAGTGCGTCCACATCCTAGAGTACTATCGCGAGTGGCAGCTTTAGCTGGTACCGCAATGCCTCAGTGTCCACCTACACCTACGCACCATGCGAGACGACCGCGCCCCATTCCTCCGCCAGATCTACACCCTCCACCCATAAACTCTGAGAGTAGGTTACATGAGAACTTTGAAATGGTGGAATTTACAAGTGAGTTACGAACATCAGAAATCAGATCGCCAAATCTCGAATTTGTTAATAGTAATCACTTTACGATAGTACATGCTGGACCGCCTGATGACGTTGTTCTTCGACGACCTCGGCCCATCGAGGATAATGATGACAATGACAATACTGTAGCGTCACCAACGCCTTTGAGACATATGGCTGGTATTAGATTACCGTCGATACCTGAGAGGGCGTCGAGGCAAATGGCGTTAACCGGTGACTTTCCTGCCAATATGATTGGAGGGATTATCGAATGTGAAGAGCCATTACCTGCAGGTTGGTTTCTTTGAGTATTAATAAAGTTATCTATTATTTTTTATTTTCCTTTTGTAATATATGCTTTCAACATATTATTTTCAGGATGGGAAGCCCGTATGGATAGCCACGGGCGAGTGTTCTATATTGACCACATAAATCGTACTACAACGTGGCAACGACCCGGCGACAATGGAATAACACCAAGATCGCCAGCTCCTGAAGTACAGAGGAGACAACTTGATAGAAGGTAATCTTCTATATTATTTTAAGTGTAAATGTTATATTACATTGTCAAAACCTTAGGTAAATAGACTTCATTAATAACTCTGTAGATATTTAAATAGATACTTTTATTTTCTATTCGCAAATAAAACCACTGTAAAAATTTTATATCCCAGGTATTTATGAATATTTTTTAAGGTCTTAAAATTAAAGTGTCCATATATTTATTTTAACCGCATTGGCGTAACTCTTAAAACTATGTATGCAATGATGTCATTATTAATGGTACAAGTTTACTATGATATATATGAAAGAAACTAATGTGAAAATGCTGTGGAGAAAGGCATTGTTAGTCATGTGAAATAATAACACCATTGCTAGCAATATACCATGTCAGGTTGACCTCCACGCGGTTTCCCCAGGAAACCATCGTGCTTAATTACTCATTTTATCATCCTCCACTGGTGCCCCACCAAGAGTTTATTAAACTCTTAGCGCAGGCGAGTGCACTAAACCATTATCATTCATAAAAAACCTTGACAGTGCTAATTTATATAAGGTGTTATTAAATTATTACAGATATCAGTCAATAAGGCGCACAATGACACGCACGCAGCTAGCGGAGGACGGGGGAGCGTGTGCATCTCCACCGCCCGCCCCAGCGCCCTCCGCCCCCGGCCCTGCGCACTCTGTCGCCGCCGCCTGTGCACCCGCTACCTCTTCCGCTTCCGCCCGAACACCTCACGCGCCACACCCCGCCGCCGAATTCCTGGCCCGACCGGACTTCTATTCCATACTTCATATGAACCAGGTAAGAAAGTATTATCATTATATTAATATGTGAAGAAAAACTTTTGTACCTTATTTTGATATAAAGTTTTTTCTATATTCTGGTGCAGAATGATATTTCTGCACCAGAATACAGAAATTATATTATTTTTTTAAGTGTGCATAATACATACATTAAATAAATAAAAAACATTACGTACATTACCATGTATTTGACACACACACACACAAAAAAGTCTTAGACAAAAAAACTTAATAATGTTCAAACTTATAATTTAAATTAATGATGGTCGAATTGGGCGTATAATATATGTATTAAATATATATAACTTAATTTGCAGGAGGCGTCTTCTCTCTACAACTGTAACTCTACTCTTAAGCACATGATCTCCAAGATCAGGCGGGACACGGCGTCGTTCGAGCGTTACCAGCACAACAGGGATCTGGTGGCTCTCGTCAACATGTTCAGCGAGACCGACCGTGACTTGCCGCTCGGGTGGGACACCAAGCTAGATAGAAACGGCAAGGTAATCATAATTCCTGAATTTTTATTAAGTTAACCGTATCCCTTGGTTTTTAAACTTTATTTATAATCAACATAAAAAATTACAAATTATAAAAAATAACGTTTCATATACAAATTTTAATGCAAAATGAGAACTCGTGCAGACGCGGCGCATTCGTATCATGTTTCGGTTTTCGAAGTATTTATTTTAACTTTATTGACCAAGAAATTATAGTACAAAAGGCGGACTTAATAGTCACCAGTCAACCTTCGGGAAGTGCAGAAATACTCGATGGTGGCTTAACATTGATTATATAAATTATATATATCCAAATATTACACTAAACTAAAAGTAAACTAGAATAAAATAATAATTATTAACAATACATACATACATACAATACATAATGTAAATATATGTACTACCATTTTCTTATAATTAATTTTATAACAATACATTGCTGGGAAAAAGCCGAAAAAAGTCGTCTCTTTTTCACATAACCTTACAATTGACCGTACATGATTTTGTTATTTTTTTATTAATGTTTGTGTTTAATCTTGTATGAGATTAATGAAAGAATAATGAGTGTTTAGGAAACGTATCCGAAGTAGAATGTCGTATTCAAAGTAATTAACAATCGATTAAGTAGTTTGAATAATAACTTCCGTTAACATCTGACTCATTTGTACACAATAATGTTTTGATCTTCGCTTGTGAATCACAATCGGCAGCTTCAATTGTATGTGTGTATGGTATTATTTTATACTGAGATATTGTTAATCTAAAGAATTGCTCTTCCTGTGTGAGGATATATACAGAAAAAGAAAGTTATCATATATTTTGAATTTGATTATTGTGAATGGTTTATAAGAGCCGTTATCTTTAATTTCGTCTGCTGTCTTGAGATATACATATATTAATGTAATTTTTTTCTAAAATCCATACAGCAGTTATGTTGTGTAAAGTACTAAAAAGACTGCCAGATATACTACTCATTTATAACATAAGTATAAATAGATATTTAAGTTTTGTGGTTTGATATCACATTGGATATAGAAATTAAATTTCTTCGTAAAATCTTTTAATATTACAAAATAATATGTATTTGATATAGCAAGTACACTTTTATTAGCAACTGCTAAAATAAATGTCGTTCAATACGAAATTTACATATTATATTATATACCGGGTTATATCTAATTTAGAATAAGTTGTTTTTGTACTATACTGCTTCAAAACTTTATTATAATTATAAATAATAACACACACAAATAGAATTACTATTGGAATAATTCCTATAAAAACAAATAATTTTTATCGCGCGGGAATCGAACCTGTGGCTATAAATAAGTGAGTTAGACTGCTACACCATCGAGGCCATCGAACGGTCCGTGTACGGTAGTGCGGAGGCTGAGTGTCGCGTGTTGGGTGTTGCGCAGCGCTTCTTCGTGGACCACGTGATGCGTCGCACCACGTTCATCGACCCGCGCGTGCCGCCGCTGCCGCGCGCCGGGCCCGCGGCCGGGCCCTACAGCCCGCTGCTGCCGCCGCGGAGGCGCCCCGACCACCTCGCACATCTTATCCAGGTCGCCTATAACGCCTACCTCATCCATCTCTTCCCCTAAGGCTAAATTACCCACCTCATCCTTATTGCCCAGACCGCTTGAATCGCCAATCTCATTCAAATCAGGTAGTTGGACACAGACTTTTGGATTTGACAGCGAGGTGGGCCCTCATCGATCTCTTCCCTTAGTACTGAATTGCCTAAATCGGCCATCTCGTTGAAATCAAGATTTCACAACGATGTGGGCAAATTACCCATCTCGCCTATATTGACCAGGCCTCTAAAATCGGCCATCTCGTTTAAATCGGGAATTTGGGCCTAAGACCAATCAAGTGTTTCCCTTATTGTGCCCATGTCTACCTAGTGTATCTTCCACTGCAACAAAAATTATACACTTCACCCCTATTGCCCAAATTGGGGATTTGGGCCCAAGATTTACTTTGCTTATTTCTTAGTTTGCTCATATAGGAAATAGGCGTAGTAAATATTGCAAAAAGGTATACCATGAGGTCCCACCCCCAGTTACCCCAGTCCATAGCTCCGTTATCTTGCCCATATCTTACCTTCATATGTTTTTGTGTACCTTGAGTACCTTCATGTGCCCCATCGGAAATCGGGCCATAGCTCATATGTTATTTAGGTTACTGCCCTTACTTTACCTATACCCCATAAATATATCTCATTCCATACTGTTGGCTGCTTTTAGAATTATGTGCATTCATCATTAGATTTTGAATGAAACTATTATAATTCAATATTGGAAATCTTTAATGCATCATCGTCATTCTGAACCGATCCTTATTCGAGAGTTGATAAAAAATACATACAAATATAAATAATAATACAAATTTCAGCTTGAAATTTATTCACACTTTTTGGACACTGATGAATATAAAATTAAATATAATCGTAAGTTGCAGCTGCTTGTAGTCATAATAATCAAGACATTAAATCTAATGAGGCGCAAAACAAAAAACCTAACTGGTTTTCAAATAGTAAATGTAGTAAACCAACTGAAAGCGAAATCTTGTATTTTATCCTGAAGTTACTGCTGTTTTAGTTACGGCTACTGTTTTAGCCAAACAACATTATAATTATTTTTATATATAGATAATGATAGAAAAGAATTTATTTATAAAATTTATCAGCTCTCGTATGAATAGACATTACTGTTGTCTTGTTCAGTGTTAGCTTGAACAAAACGTCTTTTAATAAAATATTTTCTGGTACTCTTATAACTTTATCAGTAAACTTAAAATATTTATAAATATTAAAAAATTTGTAATTTGTCTATTAAAAGATGTTATACTTGATTGTTTGTAATCACGTAAATGTATAAGTTTTTCTATATGCATTGCATTGCATGTTTGATTTAAATGAAATTTTATATAGTTCACAGTATTTTGATCAATTTGAGCTTTGTTTCATCACTCCATGTTTACTATGCTACTTTATCATATATAGATTAAACTGAAATATATTATTTTGTTAGACATTTTATATGTGTTACGATTTCTTCATAGTGAGACCTCTGTTTATGTCTTCATATTGGCTCCTTTATGTATATTATAGTTTATTAAATTGGGTGTAATTTATCTGAAGTCCATTTCAATATTTAATGGATTTATATTATGATGCGGTTTTTTTTTATGGATGATAATGGAATGATAGTGCACCCGCCTGCGCTAACGGTATACGCTGGCGAGACATCAGTGGAGGATGACATGATGAAAATGAAGTCAGATCAGTTAGCCCATCGTGATAAGTTCACCAGGAATTTATCACGATGGTTTCCAGGGGGAACCGCGTGGAGGTCGACCTGACATGGTACATTGCTAGCAATGGGGTTATCAATCCACATTACTAACAATCACTTCCCCCCTTATGACGCGGTTAGGTCAACGAACAATGACAACAACAGGCTTCCAAGTATTAACCAAACTCTATACAATGCCTGATGACGCCTCGTTCTGAGGCTAAACACGTGTCGCAATATGGGCGTAGACTCAATAACGATAGGAATTTGATCACCAATAGAGAAGGTCATAACGGTAGTCAACTTTCCACACTGCATATTTGCGGTGAATTAGTTGTAGCTGAATGAAATAAAATAATATAAATCCATTAGGTTTATGTATATGATTATTGTAATTTTGAAATAGCATGTTGGTGTCAATAGTTCTTGTAAAATATCAAGTTTGTAGCAAGTTTTTGTTTTAGATTAGTTTAATAAGTTAAGATTATTTTTATTTTTTAAGTAATTTATTATAGTTTGTTAGCTTGTATTTTTGTTTCAGCGCATGTTGTTGTATATTGTAATGATTCTAGTATTATTTTATTATTAAACTTCAATGCACAAATACATAAAAAAGGTGCACTTTTCTCCCAGTCAATCAGTGGGCAAATTTATCATTTTTAATATTAATATTAAATTTATTTCACGCTTGTCATCAAACAAATAGTAATAGATTGTTCGCTTGCGCAGGCGCCGACGCCGCCACCTCGGCCCCCACTTACGACCGTGGATACACACGCACACAACTCGCAGGAAGAAATACCTGTCGCTTATAATGATAAGGTATGTACTACATACAAAAAATTGTATCCTAATAGTCTAATGAATCAAATAGTTGGTCTAGCAATAGTAAACAAGTTGAGATATTTATTACTTATAAAAAAAATATCCAGATCAAATGAAGAAAATTGTTGGGCTTATAGTGAACAAGTTTAAAGGAAAGTTTTCTTAAAGGGGCAATAGCGCTCTCAATTGCCAAACTCTGCAGAGTACGTAGTACGGGTAATAGTCATATATATTAATTACATTCATGGTATATATGGAAAAACAAAGTAGATTAGCGGATTATTATACACATCTATAAATTAAAAACTTATTTTTTTTAATACAATTGCAAATTATGAATGAATGAATGAGCCGGGTCCTCCACACCTCCTAAGAGTATGTAGATTGGTGCCTTGGAGCCAGCCGAACGAGCCTCGACTCCGGGTGGAGCAGTCCCTGGGGAGCTGGATGTAAGCCCTTTTATAGGCAGGAAGTTCACAAAACAATAAACAAATATTTCGTTTATAGTATTGTATTCTATTATTGATGTTCCCCTTGGCAGGTGGTGGCTTTTTTGCGGCAAGCGAACATAATGTCAATATTACGGGAGCGCTGCGGCAAGGGCAGCGGGTGGGGCGGCTGGGGCGCGGGCTGGGGCGGCGGCTACCCCGCCCTACGCGACAAGGTGCGCGCCGTGCGCACAGAGGGCGCGGTCGCGCTCGCCAGGTACCAGTACGACGTGCAGTTCACCTGCATGCTCAGGTCAGTACCATCGGTATCTCACTATAATATATACGTGTGAATTGATAATATTGGGACTAGAACTCTGGACTAGTCAATTGTGGACAATACACACCGTCATCTAGTAGCAAGATATGCAGAGCTGCAGAGCTTGTATTGTACTCGATAACTGATGTAAATACTTACATAATTTTTGTAAAGACATACATAATGTATATGGGAAATATGCAGATCGATATAAGCAATCATGAATACAAATGTTTGTATCGTGCTGGGAAATGAACCCGTGACTATTAGAAGTAAAGTGCTAAACCTCTAGACTACCGTCGCCGTCATATCTTATTAAAAACTTTTTATTTATTATGCTATAAAAAATACCGAAGTCCGTTGTCATTTAGACGGAGTTTGCATATATTATATTAACTATGCAGATAATATGGTGGTACGGTACCCTTCGCATAATGTATTACGATGACTGCTTACTATACGGATGTGATGGAATCTGTACTGTCAGAATTTGCGCACGGGTATCAGTAGAAAATGATAGAATGAGCATAAAGCCAGGTCAGTTATACCTTCATGACATAATCACCAAGAATTGACCACGATGGTTTACAGAGAAGATCACTTGGAGGTCGTCTAGCTGTGTGGACAACAGTTGCTATCATCAAAAATCCTCTTAAGGCTCTTAACTTTCATTATATCTCAGGCACATACGGTTTATATTGTTTAACGCCATCTATGTTTTACACCTATAAGCTTATACGTTAGAAGGTAACACCTTATTTGGTGTCTATATAAATAGAACAAACTTCGACAGATGGCGCTAGAAGTCTCGCCACACGAAGATGAAGTTTATTATTTTGTTATTTAAACTTGTTTCAATTATATCTATTTATTATATTTTCGCATTAAATAGTGTGTTTTGCTTGGAATAGACTGAAATTAGTATTGTAATCCGGGTTCTAAGATAGATCATATGACGTCTATTACATACATGTACGCTTGTTTTTGAATAATAAAGGAATATTTGTCCTCTACACGTCCTCAAACCTTTCATCCTAAGATGAATCTTGGGCTTTATTCTGAATACACTTGAAAGTTTCTGGCAGTAAAATCATCAAACATACGAAGAACCATTAACCTACCGTTATAAAATTAAGCATACATATAAGTAGTTTTTTTAATGGAATATTTGGAATGAGTATGAAGTCAGGTCAATTAGCATATTGTGGCTGATTCGCTAGGATTTACGACAATTGTTTGTATCGGGGATCGCGTGGAGGTTCACCTGGACTAGTATTTTATTAAACTAGCAATTTTGTCTCTATCTAGTAATCCTTTGTTTAAAATAGACTTAAATATAAGCCAATACATTTTTCATTCCGAGAAATATTTTTTTTTTATATTACTGTGGTGGCAATCAAAGCCCATCTGACGGATACCGTAGCCTATTCCATATAACGCGAAGGCAGTCGCCGTCAAAAGCTAGTAAATGAAATGAATTCTGGGCTCTTTTATTTAAATGACCGATAAACAATATCAGAAAACTTGATATTTTATTAGATACTAGATGACCCGCGCAACTTCGTCTGCTTCTCACTTACTTGACATTTATCATTATATTTCGTCCAATTTACATAATATCTTTTTAAATTATAGCCTATGTCTTATTCGAATTTTGATGAAATTAAAATTAGTCTTATCAAAATTTGTTCCGTAGTTTTTGCGTGAAAGAGTAACAATCATCCATCCACAGTTACAAACTTTTTCGAATTCTATTCTATCTTATATTAATTATCCACTATTCTATTTCTTTTATTTGTTCATGTAATTTTATATAACTCATATACTATATGTCTGGAATAGGTGAATAAAGAGTTTATCTATCTATAATAACTCTTACATTCCTAAAATGAAGACTAAAATAACCTCACTTTCGAGCCCGTGATTATTGTGTTGGGCGAGGTAATCGCTGTTATTATAATAATAGCACTCGTTTATTATGTTGTGTCACCCCAGTCATTGTAATTTAATAAATTTGCACCCGAGCATACCGACATTACGTGAAATAGTATTTCAAGGCTTCAGCACACAAATTGTAGCGATAGTAAGCGATGCGACGCGAACTTAGACGTAGAGTTTGAAACGAAGAACTGTCGCATAGGAGGTACAATATTTGGATAATTTTAATTATTGTGACTTGATTTCTATTGTATTTATATTATTATATTGCATACTATTTATTAGTTAGAAAAACTAAAAAATACCTTCTACATATTAACATTCTATTATATATACACGGATAAAGAGAATATGATATTACTATTTTATTTTAAATTTTGTATAACACGTTTGTATAACATTGCATATATTATTAAAATATTCCCTAATGATACCATGATAGTTTTATACATGGGTTCCTGACATTTAGATTCATAAATTGTTTCAATATATACATATATACCAAAAGCCTGGCTTTTCAATTATAAATAATTAGATAAATTTTATAAAAAATATATGTTTCTCAAAAAATATATTTTTAAATAGAAACAGAACTAAAATTACAGCACATCTTTGTAAAATACTTAAAAATGGTTTACTCTTGAACTATACACCTTCTCAGACCTTTAGTGTGCTAAGACCTTAAACGTTACCTATATACATACATACACAGTTAAAGGTATTTTGTAAAACTTATTATAACAATTTTTGAATTCCTGGTATACCATTTTATAATTCCTTATATAGGTGTACAATGATGACCACATAATTGATCTTAACTATACGTACAAATAAGTTATGTAGTTTGTATAGTTTTTAATACAATTTGAATGGCAAACAAGCTACCGTTCTACCTGATAGTAGGAGGTAATCAGCACTACAACATCATGTCGAGCCTGTGTTATCACTCATGCGTTGCTATTCTGGACTTATATGATATGCAATTTATCCTATAATTTAACTTCGTTATCTTGCCCTTAAACCAAAACACAACAAAGCAAGCTTCTTGGCGGCTGAAATAGACCACGCACCAGACCCACACAGACGACTTTTAAAGTTTATGTGTATATTCTAATGCTGTTGGCTACAGCTGGCCTTTAAAGCTTCACTGGACGGAGCGAGTGCAGATGGCACTCCAAACCCGCGGAAGAATATAGTGCGGCGGAAGGTCTGCTCCCGTCTAATGAATACGAGTTTAGTCTGAAGGCACCGCTAGGGGTTCGAACCTTGGCTCAGGCCATCGTAATTTTGATCCGCGCTTGAATTGGACGGCAAATCAATCGAAGGGCCTTTACAAAGACTACCTATATAGGTGAAAGTTATGAGTTACCCAAACAGTTATACGACTCGGAAGATTAATTTTTCAGTCTACAAAATAAATATATAAATAACCCTAAGTCCCACGGTAAACAGAGCTTGTGTTATGAGTATTAGACAACTGATATAAATACTTAAATTTATTTTTGTAAATACATACATATTATACATATAATACACCTAGACCGAAACCGAGACCGACAAACAATCATACTCATGAATACAAATATTTGCACCGTGCGAGTAATCAAACCCACAACCATCAGAATTAAAGCGGTATGCTAAACCGCTAGACCACCAAGGCCGTCATATATTTATAGTCATTATATTGCATTTATTTAATATACCCATTGTGCACGTCGGGCTGCGGTCGAAGGACGTGCGTACGCGCAGTCTAGTGTTCGTTAGACAATGTAATTAGGCATCATTAGGTGCGGCACTGTACTGATATTAAATCGTACGTTTTCCCTTGGCAGCTCACTGTAAATACTATAAAAACGTAATAATATAAAGATAACTACAAAAACGTAATAGAGTTTTTAGTTGTCGTGCTAAACGAAGTAAGTCCCCAGTTCCTTTAGAGGGAATAGTAAATGTGATTTTATTTTCTCTATTAATTTTATTAATCTGCTGTAAGATGCTAGTCTATACTTTGCAATAGGACAATAAGATAAAGAGATATTATTTAAAATGCTAATATATTATTGTTCGCTTCACGGTGACGAAGAGTAGAGAGAAATGGGAGAGACATTTGCTAAATAATGGGACAATATAGATTATTAATAATAAATGTTATTCAATAAAAAAATATTTTATTTTATTTCTCTTCAAATATTGGACATTGTTATATTGTGTTATTTTTTGTAAAAAATAGTATATGTAGTTATTTACTTATTTTTTATTTTAATATCGTTTAAGTATAAAGGTTTTCAACACTTTTCATCTAAGGTTTGAACACATTCAAATAAATTTCTAAGAAATGTAGGTAAAATAATTAACTTCTTCATTTTGTCATTGACGTAATAATTGGCAAATATCGTGTGTTTAATAATAATTAAGAAATTGGACTGTCTTTATTAAAATTACTGTGTAAGTACTCACTAGAAATATGTAAATAATACACGTAAACGCTGTCACTGGGAGGTGTTGTTTGGATTATGAGGTCTAAAAATCATCTAAAAATAGTAAGCAATACTTACGTATAGGACGTAAGTATTGCTTGGAGTATATTGTTCATAATATATCGCTTGGACTGTATGTAGCGTCAGGTAGCAAGACAACCGCGAGATAAGATCCCCACGATAACATTGTGAGCAGTTTGAATTCATTGCAGACGCCGTCTGCACTTCACCACCGTCGAGTTCATAATACTGTCACCGTATTACCGTTATGTGTTTGTTTATTGGAATTTATGATTCGCATCCTATCTAGAAATGCAATGTAGAGAGCATCATAGTATCATAGCATCGTAGTGGTTCAGTAACCTGATATATAAAACTGTTCGTCAGTTCAAATCTGATCGACATAGAAAATATGTTATTAGAACAGAATAGAAAATTCTTTATTTAACTATTTTTTTATCTACCGCTTATTCCAAATGCTGTCGCATCAGATAAAGACGAGCAGGATACTTGCATGTTGGTCTTTTAAATAATTTTGTTGTAACTTTATATTTTTAAGTTAAAATGTAAAATTTGTGT